GGTCTTCTATGTAGAGTATCATGTCATCCACAACAATGACAATTTAACTTCTTCCTTTTTCTTTTTTTTTTTAATTTTATTTATTTGTTTGTTTGTTTATTTATTTATTTTGTGTGTGTGTGTGTGGCCAGCTCAGCCCACCAGGGGGCGGGGCGGGCTGGCATGTGGTGCTGGGGGATTGAACCACGGTCCCTGTGCTTTGCAAAGCTTGTTCTAAGTAGGTGCTTTAGACCACTGAGCCATCTCACCAGCCCCAACTTCTTCCTTTTTCTCCTCACTCCGCTTCTTTCTGTTACCTGATTGCTCTGGCTAAAGTTTCTAGGACTATGTTGAGTAAGAGTGGAGACAGTGGACATCCTTGTCTTGTTCCTGATTTTAGAGTGAAAGATTTCAGTTTTTGTGCTTTTAGTATGATGTTGGCTGCTTGTTTGTCATGAATGGCTTTTATCAGATTGAGAAAACTATCTATTCCAATTTTCTGTAGAGTTTTTATCATTAAATAGTGCCAGACTTTGCCAGATGCTTTTTTTTGTACCTATTGAGATGATTGTATGATTTTTGATCATCTTTGACTATTACTATGATATATTACATTTATTGATTTGCATATGCTGAACCATCCTTGCATCCCTGGGGTGAATCCCACTCGGTCGTGGGGTATAATCTTCTTGGTAATTTGCTGCATCCTGTTGGCCAGTATCTTACTGAGGATTTTTACATCTGTGTTCATTGGGGAGATTGGCTGGTAGCTCTCATTGTTAACTGGGTCCTTCTCTGGTTTTGGCATCAGGTTAATGCTTGCTTCCAGGAATGAATTTGGGAGCACTGCTGCCCTTTCAGTTTCATTAAAGAGTCTGAGAAGTCGTGCTGTTAGGACTTCTCATGTTTTTTTATATACTGAAAATTGAACTCAGGACCTTGCCCTTGCGTGGCAGGTGCCACTGGTGCATATGCCGCTCTATCTCCGGCTCCTTGTTGGTAGGTTTTTAAATTGCATTTTCAATTTCATTGGTTGATTATGAAGGATTTTTATATCTTCTTGATTCCGCTTTGGTAATTCGTATATGTCTAGGAATCTGTCCATCTCTGCTGCATTTTCCATCTCATTGCTATACAAGTTTCCATAGTACTTGTAGGTGTTCTTCTGGATTTCTGCAGGGTCTGCCGGGATTGCACCCTTTCGCTTCCTAATTTTATTTGAGTCTTTTTTTTTATCAGGTTGATAAAGGTTTGTCAATTTTATTTAACTCTTTGATTTATTTAAGTCATTGTTGTCTCCTCCTTCTCCTCTTCCTCCTCCT